GGGTAGGGACTGGCGTCGGCTTCACCACTGCGAGAAAACAAGATGTCATCAGTGATAAACACAGAACCTGTGATTGAACTTCATGATGTCATTGTTTGGGAAGCGCTGCTTCGCATGATGCAACCCAGTTGGTCACATACTGAGGACATAATTCAGCCATTTCATTCAGGTGTGTTGGACCAAGGATGGATGGAAAAGTTGCAGGACACCGGCCCTCTGGAGCTGGAGTTGTCCACCCCAGTTCCATACGGAAGACATTTGGACGTTCTGTACTCACACGTCCGCTCGTTGGCGCTGACTCCCGGACCCTCCAGGTTGGGAGTCTGAACGAAGACCGTGGCGGTGTACAGGGCGTCGGGGGAGAGCCCGTCGAAGCAGTACTGAGGCAGGCCGGCGGGGATGGTCATCTCCTGCTGTCCTCTGCTGGAGGCTGAGGAGGAGAAAACATGTCAGAATGGAGAACCAGGACAAGCCCACATCATCATCCCTCCGACACCATGCTTGATATTGTGCTATGTTATGATGTAATATCTCACTATTATAACCAGAACATCAGAGGCATCAGATTCTAATCTAAAGCAGTGATGGATCGCGTTGAATTCCTGATCTATCATTAGCCAGGTAAGCATGGTGAAGGTTCGACCCGTTTGGACCGGATCCAGCGTTTGGGTCCTGGAGGCACATGTAGAAACAGGCCTGCAGGTGCAGATGAGTTGAAGATGGATGGTCTGCAGCCGGTGTTTACGCTCCTACACGCCTCGGCGCTGATCTATGATGATGAGCTGCTCTCTGTTTACCTAACAGAACCACCAGCTGCTGATGAATCGGACCTTCAGACTGGGCTCAGGAAGATCCAACTGACTGGAAATCAACACCTGATCTCCACTAGAACCCTCCGGCTTTTCCTTTTTCCTCGCATCAAATCTTTCTGTGTTTGGCTTGGAGGACAAACTTGTTTCAGTGGGACGGACTCCCAGCGAGGCCTTCGTCTGCTTGTGGTTTACCCAACCATCTGTGTCAAACGAACATGATCTGATTTGTTCCGGCGGCTCGTCACAGCGGCTCCCACGGCTAATGACTAACACACCCGTGTTGGGATACCCACGCTTCATCTCCAAACCCGCGTCTGCTCACAAACACGAAGCAGATGGACCTCAAAGGGCTGGAGGTAAACGAAGGCGGCGTATCCCTTTCAAATACAAACCCAGTTACAGCTGTGCGGTCGGAACCCGGTCGGCTCTGTTCCCCAGGAGAGACGTGGTGAAACGTAAACAGGCCCTGAGGGGAAGGCGAGGCTCCGCCTGCTTAACCCTGAGCAGAGGCTGCAGCTCGGCCTTCTGAGGGGATCTCATGGAGAGACGCTCACTCAGAACCGGACACACCGGGTAGGGGAGCCTTTATGCCACCGCCTCTGATGCTTCTGATGAAGGAAACTATTCCTCTAAACAAAGCTTCATTTATTGTTTCTATGGCGACAGTTCATAACGCTCGTCATCTGGAGGCGCTGTACAGAGACAGTCCAACCAGATCCTCCAGTCAGATTAACAGTTAAAGGTTTCTGCCTAAGAAAACCATCCAGTCATTGATTCTCTCCTCCTGGATGAGCAGCCAGAGGCAGGAGATATTGACTCTACAGCAATCCCTCACTCACCTTCATTTATATACAAAACAAATCATTTCAAACTTAATTAGATACTTTATGAGACTAAAGTCGGTTTATTTGTGTAAAGACCAAAATAAAGATATTCTAAAATTAATACTTTCTAATGAATATTTTTGTAATAAATGCTCTAAAACAGAAGAGCAGAAAAAACATCAAGCATTTCAGTGTAAACTCCTCATCTATGAAACCTCTCAGAACACCGATTCCTGCAAAAAAAAATCAACATTATGACATAGAAAATATTGTTCCCTGATGTTCCCTGATGCTTCCCTGATGTTTCTCAGATGTTCCCTGTAGTTCCCCGGAGTTCCCTGATATTTCCCGATATTCCCTGATATTTCCCTGATGTTCCCTGGAGTTCCCTGATGTTTCTCCGATGTTCCCTTATGTTTCCCTGATGTTCCCCGGAGTTCCCTGATGTTTCTCCGATGTTCCCTGATGTTCCCTGATATTTCCTGATGTTCCCTGATGTTTCTCAGATGTTCCCTGATATTTCCCTGATGTTCCCCGGAGTTCCATGATGTTCCCCTGATGTTACCCAATGTTCCCCGGAGTTCCCTGATGTTTCCCTGATGTCCACCTATGTTTCCCTGATGTTTCCCTGATGTTCCCCGGAGTTCCCTGATGTTTCCCTGATGTCCACCGATGTTTCCCTGATGTTTCCCTGATGTTTCCCTGATGTTCCCCGAAGTTTCCCTGATGTTGCCCTGATGTCCACCGATGTTCCCTGATGTTCCCCTGATGTTACCCGGAGTTCCCTGATGTTGCCCTGATGTCCACCGATGTTCCCTGATGTTCCCCTGATGTCACCCAATGTTTCCCTGATGTTACCCGGAGTTCCCTGATGATTCCCTGATGTTCCCTAATGGTCCCTGATGTTCCCTGATGTTTCTCAGATGTTCCCTGATGTTTCTCCCATGTTTCCCTGATGTTCCCTAATGGTCCCCGATGTTCCCTGATGTTTCCCTGATGTCCACCAATGTTTCCCTGATGTTTCCCTGATGTTCCCCGGAGTTCCCTGATGTTTCCCTGATGTCCACCGATGTTCCCTGATGTTACCCAATGTTTCCCTGATGTTCCCTGATGTTACCCAGAGTTCCCTGATGTTTCCCCGATGTTCCCTAATGGTCCCTGATGTTCCCTGATGTTTCTCAGATGTTCCCTGATGTTTCTCCGATGTTTCCCTGATGTTTCCTAATGGTCCCCGATGTTCCCTGATGTTTCTCCGATGTTCCCTGATNTTCCCTGATGTTTCCTAATGGTCCCCGATGTTCCCTGATGTTTCTCCGATGTTCCCTGATATTTCCCTGATGTTCCCCAGAGTTCCCTGATGTTCCCTGATGTTTCTCTGATGTTTCCCTGATGTTCCCCAATGTTTCCCTGATGTTCCCTGATGTTCCCTGATGTTCCCCTGATGTTCCCTGATGTTTCCCTGATGCTCCCTGATGTTTCCCTGATGCTCCCTGAGCTTTCTGGACGTCCTATTGATCAAACAGAGGAGACTTACGGTCCACAGGCTTCAGTTTGATGCGGTATGATGTGGCCACTCTGTGAGGACTCCACTTGATGCAGAAGCTGTCATGGCTGACGTCGTAGGTCTCGATGTTGGTCACATTCAGGTAAACTGCATCAATCAAACACATCAGAACATCATGCTGTCATAAAAGCAGACCTTCAGTTCCGTATCTGCTGCCAGGCGGGGGCCCTACGTGTCGTTCCCTCTCCCACCAGGGGAGCGCTGGCGCCGCTGGCGTACTGAGCCACGACCTTCACATCATAGGTGGTTCCGGGCTGCAGGTTGGTTGGAGTGAAGGAGGTGACATCACCCACGAAGAAGTCCACAGGCTGGTCTTTACCTGGAGACACGGCAGAAGATGGTTGATCCTACTGATCCCACAGCAGCGCTGAGTGGCAGCCATGGGAGCAGCTCTCACCTTGGGGGGAGTAGATGAGTCTGTATCCTTCCACCGGAGCAGAGACCGGCTCCCAGGACACCCGGAACCTGGTGTACCACTCGTCTGACACCCGCAGGTTTCTGGGACTCAACAGGCCGACTAGGAGACAAGAGGCGCAGTGTGAGCTGCAGAGAAGCGAGCCGGAGGACGGGGGGAGGGAACTACATCTCCATGGAAGGAGACAAAATAGTTACATAATAAAAAATGTTTTTCTGCTATGGAGTCAGAAAGGGGTCAAAATAAAGGGCTCTGGTTTATAAAGGGCTCTGGTTTATAAA